ATTCTTTGAGAACCACACAAATCTAATGAGAAAAAAGAATTAATTTTATTTTATTTTTCACCCTCAAAAAAATTGCCTTATAAAAACTCGAGAAACAAGGAATAAAAAAAGTCTGGCCTAAAAAAAAAAAAAAAAACACTCCATAAGGTCCTGAATTAAGGTTTCAGCATTGATTGTTATGTGTTTTTTGGTGGCTAAGACTACATTCCACAAATGCACATGTAGACACAATACCCATAATACCATATTAGTTATGAAACTGCAGGAGTCTGAACCAAGCACAAATAAAAACAAACAAAATTTAACTTATACATGTACAATGTACCACAGAAAGACATATCATGAGATCCTTCTTTTTTTTTTCTAAGACCAAGTGATGTGTTGTCTGTGGTCTGAGTTGAATCTGGAGAAGCATCTCCTTTCATTTCATTATGCTAAATAAGATACATGGCAATATTCCAATCAACCAACCATCATGATAACATTATGTCACACTGGTGGAAAGCAACTATGAATGTATTACTAGTATATTAAAAACAAGGAAAATTTGAGTGAATTTTCAGTTTGTACTCAACAAATTTGGCTATTTTTGTCCCAATCTTCTGATGGAAAGTGCACGGACTATTTACTAAACGGGACTATTTTGTGAATTTGTGATGAAAAGAAGGAACTGGTGGTGTAAAGGTTAACCCTGGATCAAACTAAATTTAACATGTACAATGAAATACCCTGGTAAACAAAGTCTTTTTATATCATTTGGTCAGATCATTGAAAACCATTAAATGTTGAATAATCAATAATATATTATTCTTGTAACTTACTGATGGGCCAAACATCTGTTCAAACTGAGGATTGTACATCACTTCCTTGGATGTTGGATCAATGTGATGAATCGTGTCAACAGCTCTCTAGATAGAAAGTAAAATAAAATGCGGATGATAATGACAATGTAAGCATGAAACTTACAAATGTAGTTGTAATCATACTTTATCATAACGTTATTTATTTTATTATTACATATTAGTTATTTTCTTTGTTTAAAGTTTATGATAAATTAAATTGAAAGATATTGATTTTAGTAACATAGAACATAGTAATAGAGTATCGTGAATTCTGTGTGACTGAAAACAACATTCAACCAGTCACTCTACTAGGAGAGTGTGACTGTGATTCAACCAGGGACTGTGATTCGACAATATAGTCTACGATTCGACACACGTAAACGAGCAACGTTGAGAAACGTCGATATTATTACAATGGTGTTCACAAACCTTAGATTGGACTACAGGAGCAGAGTTTAGCTGCAATCGACTCTGGAGTGATGTTACCTTCATTCCTTTATCTAGTGGTTTCAAGTGAATCGTGGAATCCGGTTTGGCCTCTTCTTTCGACTCGGTGTCGCTCTCATCTTCACTTTGGTCGCTCCCGTACGCTGCCAAAGCTGAAATCGCTGCCATTTTTGAAATGTGTTGTAAACACTGCCACCAATCGTTGACCTCTAGTGGCGATGACGTCTGACCTAGTTTCAAGTCGAGGTTGACGTCCGCCATATTTGGCGATTTTTCCGTCTTCCTGCTTTTATTTCCTTCAAGAAAGTGAAGAATTTCTTCAAAGTTTTATCATCTATGCCTTTGTCGGACGTGCTCAAAACGTGGCTAGGTGAGTGGTATATAATGTTATGAATGTCATGAAAAAGCGATGGGTTAAAATTGCTTACATATCTAACAAATTTAGGCGATTTTTACACACCCAGCCAATGATAACACGGTATGAACACCGCGCGAATAGTTCCGCCGTGCATCTCAGTACAATAACAAGTATTTCTGTAGGATCAACGAATCATTTTATGTACCAATTACCACCTACAATTGTAACTCAGAATTTATTATATGTCCAGTTGTAAAAATACAGACGACCTAATTTATTGAGACTTTGCAAGATAACAAATTGTTGTCCCTTTTGCGAGAGGCACTTTAATGTTATTTCCGCAATATAAAACGTCGTCCCTTTTCATTGAAAAAAAAACTTTCCAGTATTTTAAAATACCTGATGTAATCTGTAAAATTAATAGAATGTGTGCATGGACATAGGTAAAAGTAAACATGCAGGACTTACATACCGAGTTTGAACGTTCTCCTGGAATATTACACCACGTAACCAGTCACCTGGTCTCGGCAACCAAGGGAAGTACAAACACTGCTAGCTGTGACATAAATCGGGAAGTAATTTTTGACTGCATTTGAACAACTTTACAATGTACATTTTTAAAGCAGACTTTGTGTTTTTTTAGAGCCTTTTTAAAAAAACAAAAAACTCAATATTGGCCAATTTTATGAGATTGAGAGTATTTTCCTTTCAAAACAAATAGCCTTGCTTTGCTTGACATCATGGCCTATGACATAAAGAGAAGCTTTTGCTACGGACTATTTCAACGAATTTCAGACAAATACATGTCTAAATTTAAAAGGTGGAGTATATCAAGTATTTGGAAGTGTTATTTTCAAACGAGTAAGTGTACCTGGAAAACACCAGCTACAGTACAGTTCTCGCGAAAGCTTTGGCTTCACTTCAGCTTCACCTTCGCTTCAGCATCGCATCATTATGGCATTGTTATGGCTTCAGCATCGCATCAATGTCGCGACATTAAAAAGTTAGGCGGTTATTGCTTCGCTTCATTGTGGCCTCATTATGGCGACAATGTGGCATCAGCATCGCTTAATCAAACAAAGAAGTACAGAACTCATTTCGCCCAACCTCTCGCCCGCTTCCGCTTTTCAATCGCTCGCATCTGCGACCGCTTGTTGAATTTCCGCTTTATTTTCGACTGTGCAAAAATTCGGACTACTAACAATTTTCTGGTTTTCATAGATCACGGTTACTAGTTTAGTAACCGTGCATAGATGTTGAACAACCGTCAAAAGTTCAAATACTTTTTGTTTATAATTATATGCACGCAATCTGACCCCTTGACCTAGATTTGGCTGCGATTGACTATTTTATTTTAAACAATATTCTGATGTGACGCACTGCTACAAAATGTCTTTCAACAGAAGTACGACATGGTTGTCTGGGTTTCTTTTCCTGACTATGTTGAGTTTACGATTTGTATAATTATTGTTATTTCCCCCAAGGAGAAGACAAGCCACGCATGAAGCTAAATAGAAATCCCACGCATAAAGTGAAAGAAATATTTCTAAGCCTAAAATAATACCTAATATCTCTTTGTGTATTTGTCAATTTTGCATATATTTGGTATGACAGTATGTTTCTAAATATCTGGTAAAATCTCGTCTTTCG